CTTACTATTATCACCATTAGTGAATTTTAACAGTTTTTGTTGCACGTTTCGTTATTAAATAACACTTATATGACTTCATTGAGTATGATTGGATAGTTACATAAGAAATTTTAAAAGGAATTTTCCGTCAAGTTCTTATAAGCTTATGTAAGGAAGTGTATACTCAGCACAAACTGAACTCGACCCTTTAATAAATTTCTCGCTTTACAGTCTTATTAATGATTTTGTTTTATGCATTTGTCTTGTATCATCTTTCTATTCACACCCCTTAGTTCATTTAAAAATATGATAATTTTTTTTCACACTATTAGACCAAAGAAACAGTAAAGAATTGCGAGAAAATATTCATTACGTCATCTTTTCTCACAATACACAGTTTAAGGCATCAGTGTACAACAAAGTTCAATCTACAGACCATTGTTCGACAACGGTAGGATCGGGGAAAGAAAAGTGAGGAACTACAAGCCAAGTATATGATTTACAGAAAATCTCTTTTCGGCATAAAAAAAACTTTTGCGTGTTAAAATGGTAGATCGGAAGTGGGATAAAACTTGGAGTGGGTTTGCCCTCCATCGCACTACAACGCCATGCTACAGGGCGGGAGTGATTTACAGTATCGCATAGAAATACTGAAAGGCAATAGAATGTCCAGAATCCCCCTGGGGTTTAACGGCAGAATCACGCACCCACCTTCATCAAGAGCTGTGTGAGGAATGCGTACGCTTTTATCACCAACTCAATGCAACTTAGTTTTAAACACACGTAAAAGGGATACGCCTATTTGGAGGGACTAGGTCTTCAGAAATCAAAATAAGGGTAAAAAGGTGAAGTTGTCCCCGACGCCGAACTAATCACTACGCCGTGCAGACGTATGCGGGTATGGAGAAAAATGTCTGCAAATTTTTAACCTAGACACTAGGAGACGAGCAGTAAGCTTTACGCTTTAGATAATTTACAAATATCTATTGTCATCTAACACAGCACAGTCACTGCATCATCTGAAATCGGACATTTGTTCTAAAGTATTAGGGCAGAATGGGAGACGATGAAGGCATGGAACGAAAACTAATGACATCTAAAGATTTCTGATTAATTATATCGACTACCCGGAGACGGAAGTGAAGCAAACTCCAAAAATATCGTGTTTGAAAAATAAAAACTGCAAAGAGAATCAACAACAGTCAACGAAATATCGGTACAGCTGAAATCTACGTTCTCTTACAAAGCGTAGAAAACGTGGATACAGAAGCAGACAGGCCGAATGCAGATTTTGATCGTTCTTAGCCTCAGAAAGCAGCTTAAGGACTTAGACCAGTTCCTTCCTTACACGTCCTGTTAGGTGATGGAAGTGTAAGTAACGCGTAACAGGACTGGTCTTATGCAAAGCGAAGTCTCGCAGGTGGATACAAAAAAAAAAAAAAAAGGTTTATTGATTATAACTTTGCAGCTTTCGGTTTGTTCCTTATGCCCCATTATTCCACATCAATCATTTAAGAATAAGCCACTACCGCTGTGTTCTTCCTATAATCACTAAAAATCTGAAAGCAGAAACACAGCCATCTTGACGCAGGTACGTAATATAGTTGTTGTTAATTCAGCTTTACTAGTGTTGTTTTTATACCAGCGTTAATTAAATTTACTTTAGAGATATTTAGTCACTTAATGAGACGCGAACAAATATAAACGAAAGGCCTGCTAAAGCAGCGTGTTCCAACAACGTCTTTACATAGAACGCACTAAAATTACATTTGCTCGACACTAAAGCCGAAAGGACGTCATTACATCAAATAAACAAACCTTATCTTTCCACGCAAGGACTCTAAAAATTAACACGAAAGCGTCTGATGATGAAAAATAAAGCGGCAATGTTCTGTATCCATTTTACCTTTTCTCCCCATTTTATTTGATTTTTTCCGGCATTATATATTTTATTGTTTCACTTACTGTTATTTTACCTTATATATGGTGATTTACGTGGTATTAAATTTAACGGACGTAAACAACTGTTCTCTTTTAGATACTGACCCGATAGTCGTTCCCGAAGACTGAAATAATTCGCGAAAAACTTAGCAAAATCTGTCGAATCGACTGAAATTTGAAATGAGTACAAGTGCAAGACAATTGTTGTCATTAACAGCTTTGATCATTTGTTAAAGGTGTTCCGATGGCAGAAATGTTTCTCTCATGGTGATGACGTCTAGAAGTGTTTTTTTTTTTTTTTTTTTTTTTTTAGAAAACCATCAGTTTATTTTATATAATTAAAATCATATAAGGTCTAAAACACAACGACAGTAACCCTTCATAAATATTTGCCAGAATAAAAAAGTGATAACTTAAGAAGAAACATAGCTGATTATCGGTCTGGTGAAAGGAAATGTTTAAGCAAAATATTAATATGTCATCTTCTACCAACCCACATCTGCGCTGCGGTCTGTATTAAACTTTGCAATCATCTTAATGTAGTGTAAAATGTCTTCTTCACCAACTGACAGGTGCAGAGCTTTATTACCAATGCTAATTTCTCTCTACGTTTCTTTGAAGAGTGAAACAGAGGAAGGAATATTAAAAAAGAATTGCCTCCTTTCTTGGTGACGTTTTCTTCAGATAGACGTATAAGAGGAAAAAAACATGGAACTAAAATAAAATCTGATTTTCTGACAGTTTTCATGGGATATATAATCTTTTAAATACTCCACCAAATTTACTAACGAAATGTATATTTAAAAATCTGCCATTCAATCCAAAACCGTAAAACCAATAAAGCATAAATCACAGTAAATAATTTTGTAGTTATAGCTTAAGTTATCGGATAGTTTTAAAGAATTCAAATCAGAAGTTTGGCCTGTTGCATCAATAATGCATGAACTACGTTATCCCTAGTTACATCTTAATCTAAAAATACAACTCAGAATGAAATTACTGGGGGGAAAGAAGGTATAGCCCCAAATTATTCTTAACCTCGGCAATAGATTGGGGTGAGTGGTCAGCGTTATGACCCGTCACGCCCCGGCTGCGCTTTACCCCCGGGAAAGAACCCCGGTGCCCGTTGGATAGGAGGTTGGGTTGGCCCCAGAGCTGGTCTGGACGCAGAGGCTAGAGGAAAAATCCTCTGCCCCCGTCGGGGATCGAACCCCTGTCGTCCAAACTGTAGCCATGTCACGATCATGTCTTCCTGCATCATTTCTATGTGTCATGCCACCATCCTCTTAGTTCAAACTCTGGAACACTGCAGTTGTTATGGTGTCGTTAAATAACCAGGTACATTTCCCAAATAATTTTATTGGGGGTAATAAATAAATACTATTCATTTTACTGACCTTCCGCGAAACCTATAGGCACACTTGATGTTCTTGGGGTAGCTTGATGGATATCGGGGTGAGTAGAACCTTCCGCGTGTGAGCGAATAGTTACTGCTGATAAACTGATGATCGCACATCGTGCCTGGCAACTTCTGGCCGTCCGTCTGAAACATTCCTGAAACACAAAACGACCAAGATCAGCTATGCATTAAACAGTTACTATAATAGGATCCGATGTTGTTTAAATTTGCTATACACTGTAGGCCTACTTGACAATCTGCTAATTCCAGTGAGGAGAACAGATTTACGCACAGAATCCTAAGGACGTGGTGATTACAGAAATAAATTCTAAGTTCTTATGCGTCCAATAAATGTTATGATGTAATTCTATAGGGCAATCCGCAGCGTAAATTTGGAGAATAATGCGCAGTTTTGCTCCAGATTCACACTGCCGATCGCACGGAAAGATTTTATGACGTTCAATTGCTAAAAAAACTTGTCATATCAATAAAAATAGTAGAGATGGATGGAAGAAGATTGGACGATAACAGATTTTAAGGTAGGTTACTCTGCGGACAAGAATCACTGAGAAGAAAACCAAAGACAATTTTAGCAATGACAAAGTGTAGTTTGCAAAAGAGGAATACGTCGTAAATAATTTCCAAAGTTCATAAACTTCTATGTTAAACACACAAATTTGAGAGTTGTCAACACATAAATTCAGACAGGGTACATCGAACTTACGAGCCAGGATCCACTCTAAGACCAACGTCTTAAACCACAGGGCTAGTGAGTTATTTCAGTCAAAAAATTATAGGCCACTGATCTTGAATCTAACTTTTAAACTCCATGCATTGCCCCATATTTCCCTTAGGCTATAGAAACATCGAGCAATAAATAGAGTTCGTCAGAGTTATATCAATCCCTGGAGCACACGACATGGCTAGATCGCACGTAAAGTCAGTAATTACGAAAATAAATGCGTATATTGGGATTATTCTGATGGGGTATATGTGGCGACGGTGAACTCCACCCCCCCACTCCCATGATATTTACATCACCCACCCGAAAACATCCCGCACGACCAGGAAAAATCCTCTGCCCCCTGCATGAGGAGGCGTGTATAATCTATGAAGTGTGCATGGGACCACCCGTATCTGAAAACAGACAACGCTACATTTTGGTGCAGATTCATACAGCAACCAGTTATTCTGTACATCACGTGGTACACCTGAGGAAAATATTCGCGTTTTGTTACACTACACGATATCTTAATGCTGTCATATTTAGATATTTGAAACCGAATGTCTTCTAAATCAGCGGTATTCAACCTTTTGTGTTCGCGTACCCCCATACATAATTTCTCTTCAACTTTGTACCCCAAAAGTTGTTGGTGTATAATTCAAGTTATACATAGTATATAATCTACATCTGAAATAAATTAAATTACTGATTATTCAGTGTTTATCATAAATAATATATTTTTTTAAATTTCACGTACCCCCTAAGATGTCTTCGTGTACCCCTGGAGGCACGCGAACCCCAGGTTGAATACCACTGTTCTAAATAGTATTCGAGAATTTAATACGTACTGCAAAGAAAACACAGTACTTCGCCATTACAAAGATCAATATGTTAATGCTGTTTTAGGAAATAATTGCTGTTTATACTGAGAACCATACGAAAACCATAAATATAAAATGAAGATTTATTGATTGCTTATGAGCCGGGATAGCTCAGTCAGTATAGTGACTAGCTACGGGCTGGACGACCGGGGTTCGATCCCCGACGGGGGCAGAGGATTTTTCCTCTAGCCTCTGCGTCCAGACTGGCTCTGGGGCCCACCCAGCCTCCTCTACAATGGGTACCGGGGTCCTTTCCCGGGGGTAAAGCCGGCCGGGGCGTGATGCTGACCACTCATCCCCATCTAGTGCCGAGGTCAAGGAAGAGTGGAGCTATACCTCCACTCACCCCAAGCGCCTACATGGCGTATAGTGGGACAAACTTTACTTTATTGATTGCTTAAGCAGGTAGAGCATATAGTTACCATTATAGTTTAACGAATCTGCTCGCACTTCCACGAACTGCTCTTAAAATAAACTGTACTTAACACAATGAGACTACTTGACTGTTATAACAACATTCTCCCTGCGCATTTTCATATGCATTTGTGAATTACGCCCTGACGTCATTCCATTCAGAATTAGCTTCTGAAGCAATGAAACTATTACAATCCTATTAATATACGTATATTCGGTTTATCATTACGAATGTCTTAAGTCGAATGCAATTTGTACTGACTGAAGATCACCTTACCTAACACCGAACTCATATTCCTACTGAAGAAATAATCAATACTGAATAAATACGTTTCTACGCAAGCTATTCTTAAAATAAAGTGCACAGAAATAATAAATTGTTTCAATCAGCTGTAAAACGTCCCTCAATTTTATGGTCTTGTTTGACGCACTAAAGTTGGTGCACTGCAAGAAATACCTGTTACTGTAGTGAAATTATAAATAAGATACATCACAAACGGTGATATTTCAGGCTCTCAGGGTAACGAGTAAGAATATGGCTGTATTTGGGGGTGATGCCCCACATTTCGGAGGTTCTTACCATCCAGTGCCTCACTTATTGTCCTGATAATGGGTACAGCAGGAGCCACTGAAACATCGGTTAATATATACCAAACTATACGAACTGACATACGAGACAACAGCCATCTCGCACATCGCACATATTTCCTAGTGCTTTCTGCTGTGCTATCGCGTAATAAATCGTTTTATGCATTATACAATCCGGGTACTGTAGCCTAGCAACCAGATGAAAATCGGAGAAAGAGCAGAAAATTCTAAAGAGACGAAGGAAAGGATTATGGAACATATAAAATGTGCATACCAAATGTTTCCTTTGCGACGTTCATTCACATACTAGCTTACGTGTCCCAGACAGAAACGTACTGCTGGCAGATCCAATAAGCAGGACCTATGTCTGTAGGTCTGTTTACTGGTGAATTCATACTTCGTAGCCGTCTGCACGGCAATGGTTTTACCATTGAACTTCAGTCCGTACAACTAAGTAACAATAGGGCACACAATTCAAGGCCCTAATCAAACTGAACTAAACGTCTGACTACTGAAGTTTGGACAGAAAGACAGAACACATGTGCAAACCTCCTCTCTTCCATTCAACATGCAGAGTGCGATGCATATTTTGTGGCGCCTTATACACAGGTAACAACGATAAAAATATACGCGGGATAATGCTATAATTATGATAAAGCAGCACTGAAAATAAACATGAAAAGGTCTTTCAGATCTTCATCTGTTTTTATTTTTTGTCCCTTTTCCCCTTTATCTCTGTCTACGTCTGTACTTTATACCTTCGTCGCCCACATTAATATTTCCACAGGCTGCCTAGTGGAAGAATCATTTGTAAAGCGGAACATTCTGTCATTTGATATCTTCACTGAGGATATTTATTCCTCTGTAACAGCAAGAAAATATTAAATCACCAAATCAGACACACGAAGCTGGATTCTGTATAACACAGATAATTCAATTCTGCCGTTGTTTAATCTAGAATTCCAATGGATACTATCAAATGGAATACGAGATGGTGTCCATTCTTTCTAAAATAAATTGTGTCCGTTCAGAACGTCTACTATTATGTTTTCAGACACGCTGTGGATCCACTGAAACGATTCGAGTGAGATTTGTTTGTTTAACTCATAGTCCCGGTCCAGTGCCCAGTTTTGGAGGTGAAAAGACACGCCTCAGTGAACGCCATTTGATAAAATACTCTGCGATTTAAAATAAGGCTCAAGCTTTGGAATAGTTGTTAGTGTAACTTTCCCTTATATACGGTATCATGTGGAAATATTATTCTATGCGCAGATGATAAAGAATAATAAACACTCTATGGTATAATGGAAATTTTAAAGTATTTCCCGTGCGGTGAAATAGCTAGACTGATACCAACACATTAAATCAGAACATTGTCAATCTTTTCCTTACTTGGTTTTATTCAACTGCGCAACGTACTAAGCTTCTGGAGACAGTACTTTAACAAACACTGCGATTAGAAAATCTGTTTCAGTATTGTTAATAGGAAATAATGTTTATAAACGAAACCACAGAAGTTAAAAATAAGCAATAAGCTTCTTTTTAAATTGACACACAACATTTTTTGTTGAATCCAAATCTGTATTTGTGTTAGTAGTCGCAGGTCAGTGTGTAAAACTTGAAGCTCTATAGAAAAGAGAGGTCTTATCGGGAGGAGCGCCGTTTGTAAGAAGGCGTGAGATCTTGAGTCTGCAGCAATAACAGCAAATCTAAACTCGTTTCTTAGAACTGAGCTTAACCGAATGAATGACGTTCATATTTCACCCGTATACGATTCATTGTGAAAGCAGCCCATATGATGTCAGGTGACAATGAAGCTAGAAGGCCTGACGTCACACAAAAGACCGGAGAGGAAATAACCTTCCATTTCTTTTTTCTGTATTTCCGACAAAACACTACTTCTATATTACGGACGCTGGAAATCAGTGAGAGCATTAAATTAATGAACTGTTATTAATTTCACATTACATTAACTTCATCCGGGTAGTGGTTGAGAGGAAACGACGTTGTTACCCCGGATGAATGAGACAGAAAAGTAGACTGTAGCAGTCCGTAGAGCCGGAACACCTGTGGTTAGCGTTGCGAACGGCAAGTACTTTTAACTCCAGCGCAAGGCATCAAATATAAGTGAATGTTCTAGGGAGCCGACTTCAGTTGAAACAAAAATTCTCAGGGGATGACGAGGATTCGGCAGTGAAGACGTCACGGCGGTGAATATGCCGACAGTGGTCTTCTAGATAAACCGATGTTAAACAGTTCAGCCCCGAAAATGAAGACAGTACGATCCTCCAATTACTGATGTGTAAAAACAAGTCCACACGGCGTTACAAACCAGAAAGCCAACATCGACATAAGGAACATACGTGGTTCTTCTATGGGGCATTATTGCTTTTATTACTTCGTAATCTTGACGAGAACTGAAATTCTGTACTTCAAAACGACATTTCTTTCAGAAACAGTTGTTATCGAACCATGAAACTCAGCGCTTGGTTTACACATAATCATTTATTGCCTGTCCACTGTGACTACTTGGAAGAAGGCAGGCAGG